TTTTTAAGGTTTAAATATTCTTAGAAGTTATTTAATTTTTGTCCTTACTTTTACATATTTGGCTTCTTTTTATGAAACAGAGTTTTAAAATTATTATTATGCTCACTATTTATAATTTTCATTTTCGTTGTAATTTGAATTAAATTATACAAATTAACAAAATTGCTTCAAATTTCTGTTTGCTAAGTATTTTTATTTTAAAATAGATAAATAAAAGGAAAATTTAAAGAAATTTATTTTATATTACAAAATGAAGATGTAATACTATATTAAAACAAGACACCAAAATTTTACATTGTTATTATTATTGTTCCAAAAGCTTTACGTCAATATTAATAGTTTGTATTTTAGGAAATGAATATGTATTAGACTTGCATAAAAAAAAAAAAGTTCATAGAATTCAGAAATGAGAAGATAAAAAGATTTATTAAAAAGAAATGCATTTTGAATTAACATTATGATTATAGAAATCTGTAAAGCGATTAAGTAGAAAAAAATTCTCATTAGAGTTTTATTGAAAGTTATTTTGTAATGGGTGATCAAATTGGAGAATGAATTATGAAAAGTTATAATCAGCTTCAAATTATGAGTACAGGATTAAGGACTTAAAGCTGACTTTTTCTAATTGCAAAGGACAGAATCAAGAAAAAACATTTTATAATCACATTTTCTGACTATAATTTATCTATAAATCACTCTCAAAATTTTAGTTTATCACACATAAATTCTAGCAAGTTTAAAATTTAATTGTATTTTTAGTATTAAATTGAAAATAAACAAAAACAATTACAAACTCAGATTAAACATTCTCAAGCTATTATAATTTTTCATTATAATATAAAACCGATTAAACATTCATAAGTATATAAAAAAATAATAGGAAATTTAAGAGGTTGTTAATACTAATCCTTGTTTTTTCATTTTTTATTAATTTTAAGCGTCGACCTACATTGATGATAAAAAAATGATTAAATAAATCAGTCGTGATATAGAATTATTTTTGATAAAATAATATATCATTAAACATAGTTTTTAATATTTCAAAAGAGTAATTATTCTTTCACTTCAATCATCTCCAAATATGCAAAAAGTTTAGTCTCCATAAAAAATCCATAAAATACTTTTTTACAGTATTTATATAATAGTAAAAAAAAAGTAATAGAAATTTAAATTAAAAATACAGAAAATGTATTGCATTAATGAAAAGAGAGAAGATCTATCAGAGATTTTAGCTAATGTTAAAGATATTGATGAATAAATATTCAGTGTGATAATTCAAATATTTAGAAAAGAAAATATTTCAGATAGTTTAGAATATCTATAACAAGAAAATAATCAAATACATTTCAAATAATTCATTTTTCAATTAGAAAATTTATTATCGGTTGATAAAGATAGGAGGTTAAATGTAGTTAAGAATAACATTAAGATAATAATTAATATTCTCAAATAAATAAGAGACCATAATTTTAATTAAAATGACTATTCCACTGAAATCTATTTGCAAACGAGACAAAGTTTAAAGGAAAAAATAAAAGAGGATTAGAGGATCATCAAATTTTTATAATTTTTAGTTCAGCGAATTTTTCTCTTTATCTTTCAAACCTACTTAAAAATCATTATTAGGCACATCATCACCTGTCACTTATAAACTAAACAGCATAACCTTCTTTAGGTGAATTTACATATGTTTTTCATCGTAGTTGGTGTTATTTTTTTATGGTTTAACAAAAATTAAAGATTTCAAGAAGTAATTTGTTTGCCTCATTCCAATTAGGGAATTATAATAAGTGATCTATTTTAGTTAAATCATTTGCAAGCAAATTTAACTAAGAAATTCCTAATTTTTCCATATACTCTTAATTGATTTCCTTTTCTTAAAAATTATTAACAAATTGTAGGATGTGAAGTAAGTCTAAGCTCAATTTGATGAACTTCTTTATTTCTGATATAAAATTAATTCTGGTTTTAATCCATGAGTAAATTTATTCAAATGATATTAAAGATTCCACATGTTGTTAGTGTAATTGTTGCATACACTAATTACAATATGGTCTTAGTTAATTACAATTAGGATTTAGGCAAATACCATATATTGGCAGTTATGAATGATCAATAATTGTACATTGTAATCTTTACATTCTTTAACGGATTTATTTTATAAATAATAATTAAATTATTAACTCAGTTTTTGTGATTTATATATATCAATTTTCTTTGAATTATTAATTAAAATGTTAAGAATTACTTTAAGCAAACGAACTATTTTGAAAAAGATTAATTATAATTATAAATATACTGATACTATATTTTAGTTTAAGTCCTGCTATCTAACTGTTTAAATATGTAAAGGTTTATTAAACATAGTTTATAATAGGATATAATCTTTAAGTATCACTCAATTTAAACAATTTTGATAAGAAAATTATAAATTCTCGTTTTAATTACAATTTATATATTTAAATCACACTAAAGAGATTTATTTTAAGAAGCTAGAAGAACTAAAAATTAATATTAAGATATATAGGAAGAGTAATAAGTTGATATTTATAAGATAATAATTAATTAATTGAGTTATAGCAATGACTCAAAGTACAAAATAGTTTTAATAGATATAATTAAAAATAAATCTTATATATTAGTTTACAATTCGATAGTAATTGAGAATATTCTTTCGATATGAATTTATTATTTCTAAGTTTTAACTAAAACTCATTTCTTATTTAAGTTAATCAAGAAATGATTTGAATTTTCAGATATATTCTATAGGTACATGGCGTATTCTTCGAACCAGCTCTAAACCATTCTCTTAAATAACACTTCCTCTTCTGATAAATTTGGATAGAATTATGATTATAGGTCATAATCATATATAAAGTAGAATAGAAGTATTTTGCTGGTAGGTCTCCAGGCTGATTGAATGAACTATCTTAGAGAAAGTCTTGAGTAAATTAAATAATTACAAGATAATAACTTTAAGTAGATTTAGAAGTTAAAATTATTTAATATTAATTCAATAAAACTGGTTTTAACATCACTCAAATATTAACAAATAATAGTTTAAAAAAACTCTTTTTTCCCTAAAAATTACAATTTTGGATTAATTTCTTTTTTGAGATATAATTCTGAACTCCTTTAAGATAAGTTATCGTCCATTATTTCACAAAAAATTTTTATATAAACATGAAGTAGCTTTAAAAAAGGATGAAACTTTTAATTTAGAAAGCAAGTAAATATAATCATACTATTTTATCTATATACGTTATTTCTTATGAGATTTTTATCGGAGTAATAAAAATTATTGTATTATTGAATGGAAGTCAAAAAGACACACTAAAATTATTTTTAAATTGTCTTAATTACAANTTCCAATTTTCATAGAATCTTAATTATATGATCCACCTCCACTAAAATTTGTTAATATTAATATTATTTTACATTGATTGTCCAAATGCTTCAATAGTCCACAAATCTATTTTGTTACCATTTTTATATTCCCCTTTCAAAATAACTTAACTATTATCCCAGAATCCTTCGCTCAATTCAACCCATTTTCCTATCTGAAAAGAATGTTCTTCATCATATGATCCACCACCACTAAAAAAGTATTAAAATAATTACATCTAAACTTTTATTTTATCATCATAATCTTTTTTCCACCAAATATCCCATCTACCTACTTTTTATCCATTTTTATATTCACCATTATAAATTATTTAAGATTTATCCCAAAATTTTTTACTCAATTCAGTCCATTATCCATCCTTCTCACCTTTATCATTATAAATACCGCCATTACTAACTTAAAACATATATTTTTACATTTTTTTATCCTAATAATTATATTTCCAATATCCTTTTCTTAAGCCATTAACATACTCACCTTCTTCATAAACTTGGGCTTCCCTATTTTATTATTAAATTAAGCTAACTTCCAATAATTCTAAACTAATTCTTTCCATTTGCCATGTTTTTTTCCATCATTAATGTATTATCCACCTACACCATTCAAAGTGTTACCCATCCATGTAGCTATCCATC